TTGAGCAATTTACCTGCTCTCTTCGAGCGTGAGTTTCTTCCTCTTTGAAACGAGGGCAGTAATTCCTTCTTCCCTGCAAGGTTATAATTAGCTGTTAATGAGAAGACACGCACCAAGCCCTAGCGCAGTGCTTGGCACATAGTAAGTGCTCAGGAACAATAGCTGCTATTTGTCATTTCAATAGAGCCCCAATTTCACAAGCTCCCTAAAGGTTCTTACAAAGTAGCCTCTTGGAACAGCCCACGGTGTTAAATCCAGCAACTTGCGAGAGGAGGGCAGGCGGGCACGGGGTGGCCAGCCTGGAAGGTGGCCAGCCAGGCAGCAGCCCAGGTACCAGCCTGCCCCATCCCGGCCTTGCCCAGCGCTGGGGAGGCCTGAGCCACATTCCCCCTCAGCGGTTCCTCGGAGAGCACCGGGAGAGGAGAGCAGGAGGGGGAGCTCTGGGCTCAGGGGCCCTGCCTGGGGCTGTGGGAGAAGTAGCCCCACTGTAGTGTATGTCTCCCTTCTGGAATGCCCCCTGCGGAGCTCCAGAAAAGTGCCTTTCCCCTGAGAAACAGGAAGTTCAAGATCAAGGGCTAGGAGCAGCTTCCTTTGTGCAAGTGGAGGTGCCTGGCAGTCCTCAGCCCCGTGGAGAGCGCGCAGAGGTCCCGTAAGGGGAAAGGGAGCCACCCCGGGACCTGAGGGCACAGGTCTGTGGCAGCCTAGAGCTGCGGACGCCCGCCAGTGGTCTGAGCTCCTGGTCACTGCCCAGCCTGCCACCCTAAGGACAATGCCCCCATGTTCCCCAGTCACAGGTCCCCCGGGCAGGGCCGGCCTCCTTGAAGAGCTGGCACCAGGCCCGAGCCTGTCTCCAGAGCCCTGTGGAAGGGACCGAGCTGCCTCCCAGAGCAGCCGTGGCCCCTCACGCCCAGCACACCCTCCCCCACCCCCACCAGAACAGCCAGGGCCCTTCCCACCCATCTCCCCCCCCCACCCCCACCCCCACCCCCCTTCTCGCCCACCCTGGGGTTGGGGCCAACTTCTCCGTGTGAGGCAGCAGGACACTGTTCTTAGGTGCTTAAACCAGAGCCCTGGGCTGGGGCTGGGCTGGGCTGGGCTGGGCTGGGGGAAGGGCAGCTGGGGAGGTGAGGATCACTCTATTGTCCCCCTGCCCCTCCAGCCCGCCCCGCCCCTTACGGGAAGCAGCCCGGCTGTTCTCTGCTTGGCTTTTCACCATGGCACCGGCCAGGGAGGGGCCGGCCCCTGGGGCGTTGGCCCCCCAGCCGTCCTGCGGGAGGAGGAGTAGGGAGCGGCTCCGGGCCTGCTCCCCAGAGACAGTCGCTGGGATTAGGGTATCGACTTTCCCCAGCTTTCCAGGTGGCTGTTGGCGGCGGTGCCTATTGAATTCCGTGCCCGCCGTCCGCTCCCGGGGCTGCGTGGGCGGAGGTGACTGGGCGGCCACTCGGGGTGGGGCCGGGCTCCCTGGGGCAGCGGAGGGCAGAGGAAGGCCGGCCTGGGCCAGGGTCTGGACCAGCCCGAGAGTGGGAGAGGGTCCCGGCAGTCCAGAGGCAGCTCTGCCGGCAGGGTGCGCTCCAGAGAGCAGGTCTGGTGTTTCCTGGGAGGGAGAGGCTAGGACTCGCCCAGCCCGTGCGCTGCCCACTGGCAGCCATGGCCTCGGGCCCCTTCCCCTCGCGCCCGGGTCTCTGCCGGGCTCCTCGCTGAGCGGGCCCTGGGTGTTGCTGCCCGCCCAGCAGTCCTCATCCTTGGGGGGCCTGCCCGGGGCTCTGAACCCCCAGGGCCATGTTCTCCTTGAAGTGACCCCCCGCTCCAGCTCTGTAACCCTCAAACACTGGCTTGAGGCTCCTCCTGAACTCCTTGGGCTGCACAGCAGGCCCAAGATGGCCTGGACCTGCCGTTTACCCCCTTCTCCCAGGAGCCATCTCTGTGTGCGTGCCAGCTCTGGGGTCAAGGGGTCAAGCCCAGGCACAGCACCGGGTCCCTCCCCACCTTCTCTGCGCTGGGCCAGCCCCACAGGGCGGCCTGCCCCTCCTCCCCCCGCCGCCCTCCCCACCGAGGCTGCCTCCTGGGACTCCTGTCAGCACCAGCCTCCACCGGGGATGGGATGGGCAGGCTCAGCAGCTGGCCATGGCACCTCCTAGGGACAGCTGGGGGAGCGGTGGAGCCTGGGAGGCCCCGTGCCTTCCCTGTGGGGTGGGAGGGAGCCTCCAGGGACCTGGGAAGGGGGGTGGTGCTAGATGGGGCGCTGTAGGTATCTGAAAACTTCAGGAAACCACCTGGGGTTTGCTACGCAGCTGCCCAGCCACCCGCAGAGAGCGATGGGGGCGGGTCCCAGTGCAGGGGAAGGGAGCTGTGGGGCCCTGAGCGCCTCGGGCTGTGCTCCTCATTTCTTCCATCTCCATGACTTTGTGCCGGTAGAGGGGAGTGAGGCTCCCATTAGGCCTTCCAGGCCTAAGGGCAGGTGGCCAGGCAAGGGGGCCTGGGGTGAAGCCAAGGGTCAGTGCAGGGACCCAGAACGCAGAGACCCCAGCCCAAACGTGGGCATTGAGAGACAGCTGGGGCAGCCTTGCCAGCCCAGAGAGCACCCGGGCTGCTCCCTGCCCCCAGCCCAGGCCTGCTCACAGGCCCTGCCAGCGCCTCAGCCCCCAGCTCAGGCTCAGCTCTGGCTGCAAGAGAGCTCTGAGCACCCGGAAGGAAGGCTGTGGTTTCTTCGGCTCCCAAGCCCCTCCCAGCAGAGACGGCAGGCACCTCAGGGAGAGACACCGTGTTTACGACTCCTGCTGAGTCCCCCACCTCCACCCGAGTCCAGACTTGGGTGTCTAAGGGCCAGCACACAGATGGTGGAGGGGACATGGGCTCCGAGTGGAGACAGGGTTGGAGTTTTGGCTCCTCTGCTGTGGAGCAAGGGACGGCGGGCCGTGGACAGAACATCTGAGTCGCAGTTGCCTCATCTTGCACACGGTTGCTGCAGGAAGGCTCTTTGGAGTGAGGGGAGGCAGGGGGAGGCAGGGGGAGGCGGAGCCTTTGGAGCGGGGCGGGGGGGGGGTGGGGGGGGCGCCTCAGGACACTGGGGAGCTCAGCCCTGCTGGGGCAGAAAGCTGAGCCTGCGCTGGTGGCGGCAGCTGGTCAGACCTGTTCCTGCTCACCTGGCCTGGGGGAGGGCGGGCTGGCAGCTTTGCGAGGGATTAGCTGGAGGGGAGAAGAGCCTAGCTCACACCGGGAACCAGATCCCCGATCCCAGAGCGAGCGCCCAGGCCGGCCTGCTAAGCAGGCTTCGGCCGAGCACGCTGGTGTGGGCGCTGCCGAACTGGAGGGGGTGCGGAGGGCTGGGGAGAGGGGGGCGCCTGGGGCCTGTCGCCTGGATGAGGGTACCCAAAGGCCCAAGTGTCAGCTGTCCTTCCTGTCTCAGCCTCTCGACACCCGCACCCCCCCCCCCGCCCCCATCAACATCCGGAAACGCAGAAAGATCTGCCTCTGCAATTAAAGGAAAGCAATGTCACCCTCTCTGGCCACCCCCGCCCCCCAGAGCGGAGGGGTGGGGACTGAGCACCTTGGATGGCGCCGCCTCCTGGGGCCAGCAAGTCAAGTCGGGGCAGGTGGGCTGGAAGCCCTCCTCACCTTCCCCACCCATCCTTTTGTCTTCTCCCCTCCCCACTGGGGGGCAGGGGTTTCGGAGCAGCCTGGCACCCCACCCCCAGAATCTCACTTCTCACTTTCGTTCACCAGTTCGTTAGCATTCGGGACAGTGGGGAAAAGTCTGCACAGGCACAGGGGTTTTACAGGTGGTGTTGGGTGCTCCCTGGGAAGTCACCGGGAGCGAGCTGGGGACAGGCAGTGCTTCAGAGTGGTCTCAGTGGGGACGCTGAGGCCCTGAGAGGGACAGGACTTCCCCAGGTCACACGCAGAGTGGGGAAGCTGGAACCGGGACCAGGGCCTTGGCTCCTGCCACTGCTCGTTGCTTGGCACCTAGGGGTGACCCAGAGCGTGCAGGCTGGCTGCTGCGGCCCTGCCCCAGGCCTGGGCGTAGGGGGAGGGCACCCCAAGTCAGTCGTGGTGCTCAACTTCCGTTTCCTGCCTGCTCCGTCACGTACATGGGTCCTAGGGCTGCAGCCTCTCAGCTCAGCTGCGTCAGCTGGACCGAGGACGGTGACGCCATCGCCACCACAGGTCGGCGTGCTCCTCAAGGACCAGCAGGATCTCTGGGGCTCTCTCACTGCCTTTGCTCTCCCTGCTAGACTAGTCTCGGTTCTGCCGGTGGAGTGTTCTCGTCGTGTCTGGACCCCTGGCTGTACCTCCCCTTGGCCTGTGGTCATTGGCCACCCGGTCCCCTTTGTCCGGGCCACTGGGCTGGGCGGGGGAGAGACGGGGCCTGGGAGCCGTGGGTGAGGAAGGCTTGACTGTCAACATGGTGACCAGCTTTCAGTCAACACCTGGCCCTGCCTCCTGCTGCAGAGGGGAGCCTGAGTCGGGCAGGGGCCCTGAGATGCGGGGCTGGGCTGAGGGAGCCCAGGGTGGCTGCCACCGTGGCCCGGACAGGACACCCATCGAAAGGGCACTCAGACACACTCCACCGAGATGGCTTTCACCGTCCTCGTACAGAGAGGCTAGGGTTCCCCGTTCCACGTCTGGGGTACCCAGACTGAGCTGTGGGCGCGAGACACAGGGGAGCCATCAGAGTAAGATGATGAACCTCAGCCTGTCCGAAGAGGAGGGCCTTGAGCTGATCTGCTCCCACTTCTCGTTCGCCAGAAGAGGGCACTGAGGCTTGCACAGGGGCCTTGTGGCCCAGGGCGCCCCCCGCGGTCTGCTGCAACTCGGGGCCCCTACCCAGGCCTTCGGAGGCCCCTGCTGGCAGTCTCTCGGTTGCGGTGCAGGGTCCCAGCAGGCGTGCCCGTTACCGGAGCTTCCTTGGCGAGGGCTGGCGTCGGACACGGGGAGAGCGGGGCCCGGGACGCTGTGGAATAATGACAGGGACCCTGCTTGACCCCCCCCCCCCCCCACAGCGTGAGCTGCGGCCCCGGCTCTGCACCATGAAGAGGGGTCCCAACGGCTACGGCTTCAACCTGCACAGCGACAAGTCCAAGCCAGGCCAGTTCATCCGGTCGGTGGACCCAGACTCGCCTGCCGAGGCCTCGGGGCTCCAGGCCCAGGACCGCATCGTGGAGGTAGGGCTTCTCGCCTGCACCCCAGGTTCCTCCTTCCTGGCCCCCCAGCCCCACAGACACAGCCAACTCCCGGGGCAGCCGGCACACCGCACCACACTGCATCGCACCGTGGGCTCCGCGGTTAGCCCCTGATGCAGAGATGCTGGAGGGAGAGGTGGTGGACGGGCGGGAGGGAAGGAAGGAAGGAAGGAAAGGTGATGTGTGGGCAGAAGGAGTGACCTTTCCCACCCCCACCTCGCCTGGGCTCTTCCTCACCTGGCAGACGCACCTGGCAGCCCATGATCGGCCCACCCATCCAGATAGATGTCCCGGGCCACCCCCAGGGTTTCCTGCCGCCTGCATCCTCGATGCCAAGCAGCACAGGGATGGGGTGGGAGGGTGAAATCCGCCTCCCAAGCGAGGCTTGTTGGGCGGGGAGGAAACGTGAACCAAACGCCTTGGGCGGGACCCGGAATCTCAGCCCCAGAACCTCCGCACGGGGAGAGCAGCTCCTCCAGGGCTTCTCACTTTACGTGTGCGCAAACCACGGCCCGGAGACGGGAGTCGCACGGCGGGGCCGCGGAGGAGCTGGGGTCTGGCCCGGGGCCTCCAGACCCTTTCCGACCCATCCGGCCCAGCTGTGTTTGTTCAGTCTCGTCTGGGTGTTTTCTTTGGCTTTTCCCACGTGTCCTGCCTCCTTCTGACTATCAAGTGGGAGGGCCATTGGGCCTCCTTCAGGCCTCCGTAGGCATGGGGGGCTCAGTGTCCCCAGAATGCCAGCTGGCTGAGGACAGGGAGGACCGCTATACCTCCTTGCCTGACCCGCCCCCCACAAGACCTGAGAGCCATGCTGGTCGCTCTGCCCCCCGCCCCCCCACAGGTGAATGGAGTCTGCATGGAGGGCAAGCAGCACGGCGACGTGGTGGCTGCCATCAAGGCCGGCGGGGACGAGACCAAGCTGCTGGTGGTGGACAAGGAGACCGACGAGTTCTTCAAGAAATGCAAAGTGATTCCATCTCACGAGCACCTGAATGGTGAGCTGGGTGGGGTGGCCGGAGACCCCCAAGCCAGGGCTGCCGGCCAGGATGCGGGGCTGGACTGCGTCCGGCTTCACTGCTCCCTTCCTCTCCTTCGGGGAGGCTGAGGGGGTTGGTGGGTGGCGGAGAGCGGGGCGCAGCAAGTGTCTGGAGGAGAAGCGAGATCCACCTGGGTTTTCTGAGGATGGCATGTGACACGTGAGCTGGCAGGAGGGACGGTGAGATGGGTCCGAGCTGCTGCTTCCCGGGCCAACGCCGAAGCCCCAACAGGAGGCCTGGCCCCTTCGCCCCCGGCACATTTTCAGGGCAGCGCTGAAGCAAGGAAAGGGTTAACTCTGGGGAGGCGTCCAGCCTTGGCTTGGTCAGATCAGAGTCCAAAGGGGGCCCAGTGCCTCCCCTCCCTTCTCGCAGGTTGTCTTGGAAACCTAGGCTTGCTGGCTCTAAAGAGCAGTGGGTCCCCCCTGCCCCTGCCTTCCCCATCCCCCACCACCTCCCTGCCAGGCCTGGCACCTCCCCTCGCCCAGCCCCAGCTCAGTGGGGGCAGGGCTGCTGCGCCAGGGCAAGGAGGAGCTGAGCGGCACTCTGCTCGCTGACCTGCACTGTCTTCCAGGGAAGGTGGCTGGGGGTTCGGGGCGGTACCTCTTTGCTCTTTGCAGTGGGTGGAGCCTCCCTGAGGGTGTAATGTGGGGTGGGCTGGAGGGGTCCACACTACAGCCCTGACGTGGGCTTGGATCCCAGGCTGGGGGAGCCCCATGGGGAGGCTCCATCCCCATCTAGCCCAGTCTAGGGTGTAGGGGTTGCTGGAACTGCGGGGGAGGGTTGAGCTGGGAGTCCCTAGCAGACTTGGCATGGGAGATGGGAGGCCCCCTCCCCCTTGTCTCCCAAGTTCATGAAAACCAGGTAACTTGGATAATCCCCTTCCTCGGTGACGGGGGAACACCGAGACCCAGAAAGCCCCAGCCTTGCTCTTGGGGACATGACATGAGGAAGTCACAGCTGAGACCTGGATTCCACTCTGCCCTTCACATGCGTCCCCTGCCTCCTCCAACCTTCCCTCTCGGGCAGCGCCGGTCCTCAGCCCCCACACCTTCCCCCCCCGTCTGTCTCTGGGGGCGGCAGGAAGGGCCCTGAGAACTAGGGTGGCAGCGGCCTCCAGCCGGCCAGAGAACCTGCTGGGGGACAGGTGTCCCCAGGGCCCCTCCTGGTGTCTCCAGGATAGAGTCTTCTGCCCATTCCTCCCAGCAGATGTAACAGGGGGTGCCCCGGAGAGGGGGATGCCCCCCAGCCCTGCACGGCCTCCAGGGCTTCACACTGACCCCTGTGAGACAGCCCGGAGCTGGTGGGGAAGGGCTGGGGTGGGGGCGGTGGGGGAGCGAGTGTCCCTGTGTCCTCAGAGTCCCCTGCCCTGGCCACCGCGGGGAGGCCAAAGGCGTTGGAGGGGAGGAAGGGGGGAGAGCCGGGCATGCCCAACTGCCCCCGCCTTGGCCCAGGGCACAGGGGTGGGTGGGCATGGATGTTTAGCTGAGAGCTCAGGAGAAACCCTCCTAGGCTGGCCGGCCCCCCTGTGGCCGCATGGGGCCTCTGCCCCGAGTGGGCCGAGGGAGGGCCGCCCCGGGCCCGTGTCCTCTCCCTGCCTGCCCCTGTCCCCTCACTGGCCAGTGGGAGCTGGGGTTCCAGGCAGCCAGCCGGGAATTTCAACCCCGTCTGGGACCATGCTTCTCTCAGGCAGCTCAGGACGCACCAGTGGTTCATGAGGTTAATTCAGTAGGCAGAGACCAGCCTGCTGTTTTGGTTTTTTTTTTAATGAATTGGACAGAATATATCACAGCGTTGTGATGAGTGGGGGGTAAGATTTGGGGGCATGTGGTAATAAAGGCAGGTTGTTTCATGAGAGCTCTGTCACCCTCACACACTGTTTTGTGGGTGCTGCGTCACCAGCGCGTCAGCTGTACTTGCAATGGGTTGCAGCCAGGACCAGCAGGCAGGGACCCCGGGGAGATGACCTGGCTGCGGGCCAGCCCCGCACCTTTCCCCTCCTCGCCACGCTCCGCCCTGCCCACACTCCCTGAGCGTCTCCACTCACCTCTGCTTTTTTCCTTCACTAGGTCCCTTGCCCGAGCCCTTTACCAACGGGGAGATCCAGAAGGTAAAGGCAGACCCGCACTCCCCTCTGGCTCCCAGCCCCGGGGTTGTGGGAGAAGTGTGGAAGGTGGTGTGGGTGGGAGGACAGCCTGTCTTGGGTTGCAACCCCAGTTTCCAAACTGCTCTCTCCTGAGCGCCACACTCCGTACCTGCCCGTGTGCCCGCGGCCGGCCTCGGACCAGGGCTGTCCCCAGCCAGGGGCCTGGCACGCCCCTCTGCGGCCCACCGTCCTGGGTGACAGGCCCCGCCCCCACCGCACAGAAGAGGCCATTCTTCCCCCCAAGAACAGAGCTGCAGTGTCTGGCCGCATGCTGCCTGGCTACTTCCAGTCTGGGTTGGAAGAACAAAGCCCCTCGGCCCCTCCTCCTTTGCAGGCAGCAGGGAAGGGAAGGGAAGGCGGCGGAGGCTGGGGAAGGCATGGCAGGGCCCGTTGCCAGCCGAGGCCGCAGAGGAACCCGGGCAGGGTTCTGAGCCCCAAGCCGAGGCCGCAGCCAAGGCCTCAGCTCAGGGACCGGCCCGCCGACCACAGAGGGAAGCCCTGCGGGGTCGCTCAAAGTCCGCCCTGCACCCTGCACCGGGGCCCCCTGCTGGGGGACACGGGGCGGGGGCGGGGGGGCGCTGGGGCTCCTGAACCTTCTGGCTCCATCTGTGCGTGTGGAACCTCATTCACCCGATTCCTTCAGAGCCCTTCGTGGCTGCTTCGGGGTCACAGTGTCAGGGTTCCTCGGGTCCAGTCCGAGTGATACTCGGGCAGGCCACAGGGGAGTCGGGGAACAACTCAGGGTTTCCCGCGCCAGGGAGAGGCCTCCCGTGTCTCCACGCCCCCGGGGGCCCCTCCCCGGTCACCGGCCCAAAAGGCAAGTCAGTCCTGAGGGCTGATCCCTCCCAGCCTGGAAGCAGGCTGCCCTGCGGTCCTCATCCTCCGAGGAGGAGGAGGAGGAATGTGAAGATACAGGTCCCCCGAGGGCCCCCTGCGGGCTCAGGCCTCCGGCCGAGGGGCAGGTGGCAAGGGTTCTCCAGTGGAGTTCTCAGACAGGCACCTGTCTTCCCCGGGATCTCCCTTGCCTGCTCAGGACTGCCCTGCCCCGCCCCCACCGACCCGCCCCCGTGCTCTCTCTCTGCCAGGAGAACAGCGGTGAAGCCCCGGCCAAGGCGGCCTCCGAGAACCCGCGGCCAGTCCTCGCGAGATCCGCCTCCAGCGACACCAGCGAGGAGGTAGGCCGGCGGGGGGCGGGGCATGAGGAGCGGGCGGCCCCGGGCCGCTGGTACCCCCGTTCCCCGGCCACACGCGTGCCCGGCACGCCGGCCTGCCCTGCATGGAGGTCCCATGGCGAGCCACGTCCTGTCCCTGTGACCTGGCTCCCCCGGGGCACTGACTCCCGCTCTCTCTCGGCCTTCTCTCTCCCGCAGCTGAATTCCCAAGACAGCCCCAGGAAGCAGGACCCCGCGGCACCCTCGTCTACCTCCTCCTCCGACCCCATCCCGGACTTCAACATCTCCCTGGCCGTGGCCAAAGAGAGGGCCCACCGGAAGCGCGGCAACAAGCGGGCCCCGAAGATGGACTGGAGCAAGAAAAACGAACTCTTCAGCAACCTCTGAGCACCTCCCCCGGCCGCCCGGGAAGCCGGGAAGGCTGGGCCCACGCCCCGACCTAACTCCCTCTCCCCTCCCCCCACTCACCCCCCAATGACAAACCAATCAGCACCAGCGGCTCCCCTCCTGGCAGACCTGATTCTTCTAGAGAACCGTGTTACTCCCTTACCTCCAAGAGAGTGAATGTCTTCCTGTCCTGACCCCAATCAAAAAGGCAGGCTCCGTCCCCTCCTCTTCCTCCCTGAGTGCCTCAGCCCACCGGGCGTCCCCTTGCCACCGCGCCTGGGGCATCGCCGGGGCCTGCGCCAAGCAAGGATCGAGGGACTACGCGAGAGGTCGTGTGCGCCCAAGTGCCGCCCGGGGCCAGGGTCGATCTGGGACTGGCACTGCAGCGGCCGCATCACCCCGAGGGCTGTGGGTTGGGCATTTTCTTTTCGTTCGTTTGATTTTAAGAGCGTGGTATCGCAGCGTGTAGAGGGTTTTTTTTGTCTCCCGATTAACGTGATTTTCCAGGCTGCTGCACCCGAGCCGGGCAGCAGCCTTGGGCTTCAACTCCTGTTTCTACTCTCAGCGCAGAAACCGCGGCAGGTGGGGGGCGGTCTGGCCGCCCCCTGCCCCGCCCTGAGCCAGACACACCACCATTGTAAGAAAACTCCATCAGAAATCCAACTGGTTTCTCCAAACCACCTCAGCCTCTGTGTCTTCCTTGAGAACTCTGTCCTCCTGGCCTTGGGAGAGGGGGCAACCCCGTGTCCCCGGTGGCCTCCGGCTGAGGGTAGGGTACAGCTGGAGGGAGAGAATGGTGCAGGGCTCCCGGGGGCCCCCGAGCCTGGGAGCGGGAAGTGGGTGGCGTTAACCAGAGGCCTTGGGCCTGGTTTGAGCTGTCCTGGCGGCCCCACCCTGCCAGCTTCCCTGTGCTCCCCCGTGGGGGGGTCTGCGTGCACAGGCAAGCCGGGGCGTTTGCCGGATGCCAACCCAGGGACTTAGGAGCCCAGGCCCACAGGCTGAGCAGGCTCTGAGCCTGCCTCCCGTCCCAGGGGCTTTGCAAGTGTGGAGCCTGGGAGAGAGCGTGAAGGCTCTAATCTCTTCGTCAGCGGGGTGCAGGATTCCCAGGGGTGGCTGGAGCTGGCGCCGGCCACTCTATCTTATCTGGCCGTGGACCTGATTGGAGGCCAGTTGTCCAGGCCTAAGGGAAAACAAACCCGGCCACTCGGGCCCCAGGACGTGCCGTGTGGCAGGGGACTCACCAAGGGTGAAGCGCCCTGTTCCTCCGAGAGAGGCCCTTGGTGCCTCTGGCACCCGCGGCCGCGCCCTGGAGGTCTGCCAGGGCGGCCCAGAGAGCCGAGGCTGCCGGGCCAGGAGCTTCCGGGCAGGTGCTGGGAAGGAAGGGGCATGAGCCTCGGGCTGCTCTGCACCCAGCCAGGAAGCCTCAGGAGCTGGCGGGTTCCTGGGACGGAGGAGAACAAGGGAGACCCCGAACCAGGGAGGGGACCTGTGAAAGGAGAATCTGGCCCTCTGGTCTTCTCGGCCTCTGGTCCGGGTTTGGGTCCCAAACCCTTATTTACAGCACCAGTCGCCCCAGGCCTGGTCACCCTGGGACTGGCCTGCCCCCACCCCACCCTTGTCCCTAGGCTTTGACCCCAATGGAGACGCCTACAGGTGAGCAGGCTTGAGGGTCACCCACTAGGTCACCTGCTGGGCTAGGGAGCCCTAGGAACCTGGCGGCTGGCGGGGGGGCTGCTGGTGTGGGCTGGGCATGGTGCAAAGAGGCTCCAGCCAGCGCAGTTTCCGCCTTGGGTTCAGGCACGTGTTGGATTCTAGTCTTGCCCAAGCGCGGTCTGCTGTCAGACGCCAGGGCTGGGGGGGGAGGGGGGGTGCTGCGAGCTGGGACCCTCCACCGTGATGCTGGCTCTGCCACTTCGAGCTCTGAGGCCTTAGGCAACCGCCTTAACCTGCCTGCCTGGGACTGGTTCTTCTTGAAAACGCCCTAGCTGCCTTCACCAGCCTCTTCCACGACTGTGTTTCAAAACATGACTGGCCTTTCTTGACGGCCACCCCACACTATGACAGAGCATGAGGATGGACAGACATCACTGGGTGTCCCCCACTCTCTGAGGGGGCAGGTCTGGCAGACCTGCCCCGGCTCCACCTGCTGAGCACAGGTGGCCGGGCAGCCGCGCCATCCCAAACCTGTGCCTCCGGTGCCCCCTTGTGGCCTTGCCAGGTGCCGCTGCTCCCAGGGGTGGAGGGGTGAGGAGTGGAGAGCGGGAGGGCGCTCTCCTGCCACAGGGAGCTGTATCCAGAACTAACTCAAAACTGGCCCAGAGAGGAAAAAGGGGAGCAAGGATTCTCGCCCACTTCCCAAGCCACCTGTGTGTCCTGACAGGGCCGACCTCTTGCGTCCCCAAGCCACCCAGGGTCGCACCCAGCCTGCCCTGTGGCTCCCACGCTGGTCTGGACAAACGCCGCAGGTGGGCCTCCTGGCAGCGCACCTCCGCCCAGGCGCAGTGAGGAAACGGGAAGCTGTCCGTTCACGGTGCTTTATTCCCGGCCAGGGCCGAGGCCCCCTGAGTGGCAGCCCTGGCCTTTCAGAGGGGGCCCGTTCACCGGGCTCCCCGTTTCTCCGGCTCTCCCTCGGCCCTGCTCCTCCCATGGGCTCGTGCCATGCACTCCAGGTTCCAAGAGTCTGAGTCCAGGCCTGGCCAGGAGGAGGGGGCCCCTGCAGTCACTCGGCCACACTGCCAGCCCGAGGGAGGCCAAGACAAGTCCAGCGAGTCTGGAGGGCCCCGAGGCTGACTCCCAGCCTGGAGAGGCGCCAGGAGCCCTCTGCCCCCAGGCCTGGCGCGCTCACCCCCTGCTGCGGGGCTCTGCCCCCAGGGCTCCTAGGACCCCGCCCTGTAGGGCTTCTCTTCCACATGGCTGGTCTGCTCCTGCAGCCACCGCCGCTCCGGCTCACTCATCGTCAGTCTGAGTGTCACCTCCTGGAAGACACTGCTCACTGCCACCTGCAGAAGCCAGAGGTCGGGGCTGGCTCAGTTAAGTCACGGCCACGGGCTCCAGCACCTGCAGCCCCGCAGCCCAGACCCAGGCCCCGCCCTCCTGCCCGCCCCATCCTCACCTGCTCAAAATGAAGTTTCCGGAACATCCGCAGGCTCGGCTCATTTTCTTGCCCGATTTTCACCTCAAACTTGGTGAGACCCAGCTTGGTCACTCCTCCCAGAGGAGATCAGAGAGAGAGAGAGAGAGAGAAACTGTGGAACAAAGGCCCCTCCAGCCCCCTCCACCCCTGCCGTCTCAAGTTTGCAGGGGAGCCGCCCCGTACTCCCCTCCCCCGCCACTCCCCACCCCTCTCACCCTCGCTGCCTTCAGACCGGAAGAAGGCTCACTCCCAACGCACCCCAGGCCCGCACCTGGGGCCTGGCCACTCCCCACAGGGCCCGCTCCGGCTTCCTTACCGTAAGACATCATCATGAGCGCGGCCTCGGTGCCAAAGCCCCTGCCCCTGCAGCCGGGCTCTAGGAGAAAACGACCACCCTGACGCCGTGTGCCAGGCTCCATGGCAGGCCCTTAACAGATCCCACCTCCTTCAGTCCTCACCATTCCGTGAGGTTCGTAAACATTAGCACCATTCTGCAGATGAGACCGGCGCAGAGGGAGGCCAGTGACTCGCCCAAGGTCTCACAGCCTGGCAACACCCAGCAGCCTGAGCCCACAGCTGACCCCTTGACCTCAGCATGCTGCCTCATGAGGAGTCACATGGCCTCTTAGGAGAAGGCTCAGGGCCAGGAAGGATGCGGACACTGGACGGGCTCCTCCCACAGCACGGGAAGACCCTCCAGGGAAGATCAGCTACTTGGAGGTGGGCTGAGGGTCCCCACCCCCAAAATGGGGCGGAGCGAAGTCTGAAGACACTACACCCAGAGACTGAGCTCACGCCTGAGCACGAGGCAGGAGCGAAGTCAGTCGGCAGTCAGCCCCAGCCGGGAGCCGGCTCGCCAACTCCAGAGCCCCCAGCTGAGCTCAAGGAGGCCCCTGTGCGGCCTCCGCCGGCTGAAGGTTCAGCAGCTCCCAGGGCCAGAAGGGAGGGATCCCGGGGCCAGGGCGAACGAACCTGCGATCATGACCTCCACCTCCCCCAGGGAGGGGTCCCCCGGGTCTGTGAGGAAGAGGTTCACATCCCCCGCCATGCAGCTCTCTTCAGCGGCTCCCGGCCGGGCCTGCCACCTCTCTGCGTCCAGCACAATGAAGGTGCACTCTGAGGACGGAGGCGGCGGGGTTACCATCCGAACGCCCCGAAGGGGTGACGTGAGGACAGTCTTCCCACCCAGGCCAGACAACTGCCACCGTCTCCGACTCTGGCAGGAGAAAAGGGGGGCCAGAGCTCCCTTCGGCTGGCGCACCAAAATCTGCCTTTTGGGGGAAATGACGGCCTTCTCCAACAGCAAGTGTGTTCTCGGACAGCGGGGTGCCCGAAGATGAGCAGTGACCCCACTGGGCCTGCAGCAACGGGTGTGAGGGATGGGGCCTCAACTGCAGGCTGAGCCCAAAACTCTTCCTTTAAATCCTCCCAAGCCTGGCACAGTGAATGGGGAAGAGGGCAGAAGCGTCAGCCAGCGGGCGCAGCTTCGGTGGGCATGCAAGTAGGAGGATTCCAGGCACCTTCCAGGCTCCAGGAAGTGCTTTCTGCAAGGTTGCTACGCCCCCAGACGGGCTACAGCTGGCAGTGAGAATGGGAGGGGCCCTGGAGACCGCCTCTGGAGTCAGCCCTCTCACCACCAGCCCAGCCCAGGGCCCCCCCCACCCCGCCGCCCCCCTTCTCACTGTCCGAGTCCTCCCGCCAGCTGCGCTGCATCGCATATTCTTGCTCCAGGGTCAGAGGCTCCGAGGCTGTCAAACGCTGCAGCTCCTCCGATTTCATCCACTCGTGGTACCTGCGGGGACAGAGGGGCGGCCTTCAGCAGGCAGGGCTGATCCATGCAGAAGCGTGGATCTGACACCATGAGATGAAGAGATGGACGGCAGGAAGGAGAGGGCCCCCTAAGGCCAACATAGGGCTCACGGGAGACCCAATGACAGGGTTATAACTGCTCCTGAGGCAGAGGGCCACAGGCGCAAGACCTAGAGGCAGGCTGGTCCCGCCAGAGAACAGCAGGAGCGGTCAGTGCTATGCGTCCAGCTTCCCAGCCTGTCTCTCGGGTCAGGGTAGAGGAGCAGTCTGAAGCCAAACATCCCTCGAATTCCTGAAGGGAAGTATAGGGCAAGCCAAGCTCAGCAAAGAACGCTGGACTGATCTCCACAAAGGCTGGGCACAAGGAACCCCCCAAAATGAAGGCCAGTAGAGAATGCACCCCTCCAACACCACCATCCCAGTCTACCAGACTTGGCCAACGGCCCCCACACTGGGACTGCCAGAGTCCCACCTGGCCACTCAGGCCTGGCCTTTCAGAACAGGAGACAGCAGACCCGTCCATCAGCTCGGTGCGTGACAAGCCAACATGAAGTCTCCGAGAACTGAGCATGTTCACTGGCACCAAAGGAACGTCACTAATTTACAGTCAGGCGAGAAGACAATTTCTCTTTTTCCTTACACACATTCAGCAGGGAACAAAATAACTCCCTGCTGAAAGGCCAAAAAGGAAGCTGAGAGAGTGAAAGGGAAAAACGGGGGTGGGTGACTTCCTCCAGGGAAGTCGGAGTCTTTTGCTTCACTATGTTTTTTTCCTGTTTGTAATCACACCTCGCACCAATGCTCCTTGGAGGAAAGAGCCTCTGAAATTTGGGCCAAGGAGAGCTAACCCTCCTTGATGCGCGTTGGAGAGCTGGCTTGCCCCCCACGTCGGGTGAACCAGTTACCTAGGCACATGCTCTGCGGTGTAGGGTACCAGCACCACCTTCTTCCCCAGCAGCAAGGTGTTCTGATTCAACCTCATGGCGGCAGCCTGACGGTGGGGAGAGCAAAGACTTCAGGACCGGACCCTGAGTTTCCTCCCACATAGGGAAGGAGCCCAGGCTCTGGACACGCCAACTGCCTCCTGGGGCTGAGTTATGAGAAGAGCCTTTCCTTCGAAACACTTCAGAGAACAGGGCGTCTAAACTGATGGCGAGAAAGGGAGCCAGGCTGGCTAAGGGCAGTTCAACAAGCCTCCACTCGCATCTTCAGAAACCAAGCTGGAGCTGCCATTTCCGATCGTTCCTTCTGCCCCACCTCACAGAACTTGGATGCCTCAAACCCGGGCACCGAGCCTCACCGCCAAAGCGCCCATCACCTGCCCAGTCCTGAGGCTCCGCCCCAGGATCCATTTCCAGCCCCGCCTTCAAATCTATTTCCAATCTCCCTACTGGGCTCTGGCCCGCTCTTCCCCGCCTCCCAAGTCCGGTCTACCAGGCCCCTTCAGGGTAGGCGGACTTGAGATCTCAGCCCACTCCCCATCGTGCGGAGCTTTAGCTCCCTCCTCTACCCTCACCCCGCACCCCAGCCACCGGGGTCCGGGACAGCCAAGTTCACACACGTCCTCCAACGACAGCGCCCCTATCAAAACGTGTGAGCCACCTCTGCCAACCAGCCCACTCGGCCGGCGGCCGCTTGCGCATCGCGGAAGCTATCCCTCCTACTTCCGCCACGCAGACGGCGGCCACCAGGGCCCAATCCTGGTCCCGCCTCCGTGAGGTGCCCAATCAGCGCGCTGCGTCCCGTCCAAACAGCGCGCGGACAAGGTGGACGCTTGGCGTTGGCGCATGCGTGCTGTGGGCGCTGGTGCGGGACAGCTGGCGCCGGCTGCAGCCGAGGGGGCTGGATTCGGTGAGCAAGGCGGTGGCCGTGGCGGCCCGGAGCGCGCTACGCTGCAGGTGAGGGCGCGAGGGTGGGATGGGCTGGGGCGGCGCCAGATTCCGGGCTTCTCCAGGAGGAGTGAAGAGGCCGGGGAGAGGCTCGGAGTGGAGCTCTAGAGAAGAGGAGGAGGCTGAGGGCAGAAAGCCGGTTGCGGGGCGGGGAGTGAAGGCCCCGTTAAAAAGAAGCTTTTGGGGCAAGAAGTTGGGTTGGAGAGCGACCTAGGAAAGCCCCTAGCCCCTTGTCCTGTGCGGAGGAGGCAGACAGTTACTTGGGCTGCCCTGGGCGGCAGTGAGTTCGCTGTTCCTCGCATTAAATGGGGATGGCCACCGCGGAGTATGTAAAGGGGACGCTGGTGGCGGGTGAGAGCTAGTGGCCTCTAAGGGCTCTTGTATCACTTGGGGTCTGAGCGACACTGAATACATTCATGCTCTGCACAGCAAGGGGGGCGGGGAAACCCCAACCAGGTGTGAGTCATCCAGGAAGACCCTTCCCTCCCGGCTGGCTGCCTTGTGACTTATGTCGAGACCATAACACTCTGAGATACAAGGATAGGGGGAGGGGGATCTGCAGACCTCCTGCTACCCCCGTCTCGGTCCATCAGAAAGCTGAAAGTCTGCTCCTTTGCCTTAGGGAGCTGCTGTAGACGCTTCGTGCGAGGAAGAAGAAAGCTCCACCGCCGTCGGTCCCTTCCTCACTTTTGGAAATGGCGGGTGAAATCACAGAGACTGGGGACCTCTACTCTCCCTACGTGAGTTTTACTTTCAGAACCCGTTTTGCCCGCGTCGGTGCTCCTGGGTTCTGGAGGCGCGCTCCGCTCCCCATGGACTGCGCTAGCGCCTGGCGCTGCTTGCCTACACCCTGGGGAGGGCCAGGGTGGGGGACCTCCATTCAGCAGCAGCCACGTCGCTGCGGTCGTGGCTCAGAACACATGATGAGACTGGGGTTTGTTCACTCTTTAGATGTGGAGATGGTCGAGAAAACAAAACTGGCCAACTCTTTGTCACGTTTACCTTGGGGCTACTTCTGCTGGCACACTGTGCAGCCTGCCCTTCAAACGGAGGGACGTGCTTGACAGCTGTTGACTCTGGGTGCTGCACATCTCTGCAGTTTGTAACCCCTTGGGTCTTTAGCTGAGTTTTTCATTGCACAACTTTATCGTCTTGGGTGGCACAAGAGGCCCAGAAAGCATTCAGACACTTTCAGTTGCCGTTTACAGCAGTCTGTGGTTAGAACTGGCATGATTGGTTTCTGCCTGTCTTGGGTCTGCATCACCCCCCCACACACACACACTCACACTCAGTTTACCTTCTTTGTGTGATATGAGATTGGTCATGGTCATGGTTACATCATGGGGTCCTCTGGCCTGGATAAGTAGCTGGAAGATGGGAATAATCGAATGATTGACTCCCGTGGCTACCAGGTATCCCAGGGAAAGCAGCGCTGTCTTAACTAGCTAGAGTTCTCTTTCTAGAACTTACCCAGCCTTAAACCGCTGCCCTGCTTTGAACTTGCCTTCCTAGCCTGGGGACCCCTGCTCCGTTTCCACCAGCTTCGCAGGCTCCAGAGCCATGGCGTGATGGAGAAAGGGGCATCTCTGAGAACGGCTGGCGCCTCCTTCACCTCAGTGGTGCCTCAGGGGGAGGCCTTTCTTAAACGTGGGATGAATCGAATCGTGTCCCTCTTGTGGGAGGGATTGTGTAACGGCACGCAGCTCCTCTCAGCGTCAGCAGTGAACCGTCCCTGAAAGTCACCAGGTTCCCTGCCGCTTCGCCCCGCGTCTGCAGGTCGGGAGCTGAGTCATTTCTGTGACCGAGTTTGGGGAAGGAAAAAACGTGATATGCCCATGTTTCTTGTGTCTGCAGTTGTTCAGCCTGTCATCATTTCACATGTCAGCATGCGCCCACCGGAAATTGGGCAGTGAACCCTGAAAGCCTCAGTCTATTCTTTTTTAATTTTTCGCTCACTTTCTATGTGTTTTGAGTTTTTCTGAGGACCTGCTCTGGGCATGTGCCGTAAACAGCTGGGTGTAGGAAGGCTGGGCCGTGTTCAGGCTGAGGCGGCGTTCCCAGAGTTCCTTAGCGGTCAGGGTTTGCGGAGAGAACGTGCCCTTTTCCTGAGGTTTCCTTAGCCCTTTTCCTGAGGTTTCCTTAACTCCGCCATCCTGGGAGACTAGTTCTTAATCCTTTGTGAGACCAAGATCCGGGCTCAGGGGATAATGAGCCTTGCAGAAGGTTCTGGAACTGGCTTTACTGTGAATGCTGCTTCAAACTCCCCTGTGCAGCACAGTGTGGGCAGCACTCGCTCTGGCCACCCTGGGAGTCGGGGTGCTGGGCACTCACGAAGTTCATGGATGTGCTGTAACCGGCCGTTCCCAACGCAGAGCCCCTCCCTACCTCTGTGTGCCCTGTTAGGAGTGCTTCTCCCGTCATGCAGTTCAGGGATGTTTATTTTAGTTTGCATTATTCTGCTTAAAATATTTGTAGTGGGCAGAGGACCCTCTCAAGGATAGTGCTGGACACAGGGACACGATCCAGGCTCATACGTAACCATCCCTGTCCCATAAGTAATGTCAAAACAGACGTGTGTGTTTCCCCATTTGTGGAGACGGGGAGCAGCGCAGGATGGGGGCGTCGTGTGATCAAAAGGGAGGACAAAGTGGGTCGCCCCCTGCACAGGCGCCGGCTGCTGAGGCCGCCTCCTGCCGGCGGTCTTGCCCGACAGCGTTGTGTTGCTTTCAAAGGAAAGAGCACTGGTCTCACAGCCTTGACTTCTGCCTGTTTCTTCTGCGTCTCTGCGGCCTTCTGTTTCCTTTGACAACTGTCACTGGGGAAGCTGTTGACACCCGTGACCCTGCCCCTTGTGCATCTGTGGGTGAGGCCGCTGGGCGGGAGGCGAGACAGCTGGAGCGCGGCACTGAACTCGCCGGAATGTAGGGGAGCATGTCGGCTGTCCCAAGGGGCAGGGACTGTGCCTTCTCCGGCTCAGCCACAGAGGAAGGGTCGAGAACGGGAGGAAACTCGGCTTAGCCTGCAGCGGCCACAGCGTGCACAGGTCTTTACCCAGAGTCCTCAGCTCTTGGCCACACTTCCCAGGAGGCTGTCCCCCCAGAACTGTCCCACAACCAGCAGAAGAGAATGGCTCCCTCCTCTTCCACCCTCGCCTTCAACCTGACCTCAGATGGGCCTCCTGCCTCAGAGTCTGCTCCTAGTGACCAGTCCTTCCTGGTCACCATCACTGAAGGTAAAGAGGCTGTGACTCCTGCCAGGAAGGTGAAGAATCGTCCGTTACCCTGCCGGGTCCCTGAGCCACACAGGCCCAGGTGCTTGCTTCGGGACTGGAAGAGAGCAACGCCCTGGCCTGTTTCTGCTCCTAACTGCCAGCACTTTATCCTGAATGAACTTCTCTCTAAAGTTTTTTTTTTAAGATTTTGTTTATTTTTAGAGAGGGGAAGGGAGAGAAAAGAGGAAGAGAAACACCAATGTGTGGTTGCCTCCCATGTGGCCCCTACTGGGAACCTGGCCCACAACCCAGGCATGTGCCCCGACTGGGAATCAAACCGGCGACCCTTTGGTCCTCAGCCCACACTCCATCCACTGAGCTACACTAGCCAGGGCTCTCTAAAGTTTTTTAAAGGGCCCTTTCGCTGAGACTTCTTTGAAGTTTTTGTTGAGAGCATGCTTGTTGCATTGCTTCTTTATCAGCAGTGGTTCTCAGTTGGTGGCAGTCTTGCTCCCCAGGGAACTTTCTGCAATGTCGGGAGACATTTCCGATGGTCGCCCCGTGGGGGAGCGGTGGGGGTGCTGGCAGATAGTGGACAGAAGCCAGGGAAGCTGCTGACCACTCCACAGCCTACAGGACAGGCCCCCAGGACAGAGAATGGCCTGGCCCCAAAAGTCAGCGGTGCGTAACCTCCGATCTGCAGTAACACCTTGACTTTCACACCCCAAGACCTTCAGGCATCCCTGAATCTGCAGATGCCCCCTGTACTGTTTAATCTCCCCGCAGAACTCTGGCCGAGAACCGCCGCTGTCGCAGGCCTCTGCACTGTGTCCATACTCCCCTCCCAAGATCCCACACGAGGGCCATTTTCCATAAAGAGAGAAGGTTCTACCCATCATAAGGGCTGCTGCTTATGAAAGCGACACCGAGAACAAAGCTTCAGGGAGGTCAAATGTTAGGTCATCGACAGGGGCCTGGTCCATTGCGTCCCGCTGAGAACCCTGCAAACCACCGAGCTCCCTGTCCCCTGCAGCCTGACCGCCCGGCTGCCCCGCTTCCGCTTCCGCCACCCCTGCCCCAGAGCCCTCCGCGGCTCCGACCGCGCCCGCCGCCTCCCTGCTCAGCCTTCACCTGGCACCTCTTCCCTGGCCCTGTGCCCGGGCGGCTGTGTCCCGTCCTTCAGGTCCGGGCTGGAATGTCACCACACACAGGTCCTCCCTGAGTGTCGTGCATGTAACGCGCTCCCGTCATTCTTTGTCACAGCGCTCTGCTGCTTTCCTTCCGCCCTGTCTGCCTGCCTGTCCTCCCGCGCGGGGTGCGGGCCAGGTCTGACTTGCTCAGCGCCAGGCCCCCAGCTGCCAGCACGGGCCGGCCCCCCGGAAGGTCCCCGGAAGTCCAATGAGTGAATGAGCGGAAGTGAGCTAGCGAAGTGCCTCACGCCTGCACTTGGGTATGTTTGCCCCAAAGTGACTGAAATCAACCAACAAAAGGAAAAGGTGGTTTGTTAACAGACACGCAGCTACCCGTGAAGCGCCAGCACTGTGAACTTCCAGTTGGGAAGGCCGGCGGTGGGCTCCGTCTGGTTTCTCACCCTCACGTGTAGTCTCGCGAGATCGCCCCGCGCCGGGACGTCGCGGCAGTGTCGTCATCCAATCAGATGCTCCGGGAAGACGATCCAGACTTGTGTCCATCCTTCTGACACCTGTCTGCGGGGTCACTGTGAGATCATGACGCTTAAGGCCGGTGAGACGGTCAGACGTGTGTTCGAGAGAGCCCGAGCCGGGCCGGGCTGCCCCGCCGGGCCCCTGTCTGAGGGGCCCTGCCAGGCACCGCGAGCAGCGCGGAGGGAAGACTTGCTCCAGGGCTTCAGAAGCGGGAGCAAGACCGACGGGGAGATCGGGAAAGGCATTGTGGTGGAGGCAGCGTCTGAATGGGGCCTGAACGCTGGGTGGGAACTGAGGGCGGGGCGGGGGCTCAGGGAGCCTCGTGCCCTGTGCCCAGTGTGAGTGGCAGTGGGCGGAGCCCTTCCCTCCCTGCAGAGGGTCCCTCGCTCACCACTGCCCCACGCTTCCATCCTACCCGTGGGGGGCCCCAAAATGTCAGTCGATGCTCCCTGCCCTTTTTTCATACAAATCTAAGGCCAGAAGAAGAGACCCAATTTGTGTGATTTTTTCTTTCTGTTTTTTAAAAAACTTTATTTATTTATTTATTAAAACATGTTTTTTTTGGTTATAGTTGACATTCAGTGTTCCTTTGTATTAGTTTCAGGTGTATGGCATAGCAGTTACACAGTCGTAGGCTTTACAAGGTGATCCCTGATATTTCCGGCGCCCCCCGAGCACCACACGCAGTCGTTACAGTGGTATCGTCTGTACTCCCCACACTGTGCCGTGTGTCCCCGGGACTGTTCCGTAACTGCCTGCCTGCCCTTCTCCTCAGTTCCTTCGCCTTTTGCACCCAGTCCCCCAACTCCCCCCACTTCTGCTCTCTGTGTTTATGAGCGTGTTTCTGCTTCGTGTGTTTATGTTCTTCAGATTCCACGTGTAAGTGAGATCGTATGGTATTGGTCTGTCTCTGGCCAACTTATTCCACTTAGCATAGCATCCTCTAGGTCTATCCATGCTGTCACAAATGGCAACATTTCGTTCTTTTTTATGAATGTCTAATACTCCGCTGTATTCATGTACACAGCTTTTTTGTCCGCTTGTCCGCTGCTGGGCACTCGGGCTGCTCCCACCGCTTGGCTGATGTAAAGAACGCTGCAGTGAACATGGGGGTGCATGTATTCTTTCCAGCTACAGTCTGTGTGTTTCCAATTTAAAAACCCAGCACATGGGTATCTTAGAAAAAAATTAAACGTAGAAAAGTATAGCTTTCTAAGAACGAGGAAATGAAACCAAGAGGTGGGCAGGTGTTTGCAGAAGCAGCATGTTTGCTGTTGCTTTTAAATGATCAGCAGCAGGCGGAGACACAAACCAGAAGTCAGCCAGTGCAGGAGAGCACCGGAGGGCCAGGCAGGGGTCTGCCCGCAGAGTCCAGGCCACAGGCAGCAAATCCGAATTGTAAGTGACAATAGGAGCCGGAGGTGTCCACAGGGCTCTTCAGAAATAAGGCCACTGGCACTGGGATGTGGAAGGGAAGGAAGGGGGCTGCGGCCACCAGGGGTGTGTTTGGCAGAGGGGACCCGCAGGCGGTTGGATTTGAGGTCTGTAGGAGGGCCCACATGATTGGTCCCGCCAGGAGGGACAGAGGGTTCAAGCCATGGGACTCTGCTGAGGAGGTGACACGTAAAGAGGAGAGACTGCTAGTAGCAGGCGTGTAAGGAAGGTTGGAGGACTAGGAAAGCCATTGGATTTGGCAGGTGGAGGTGTCTGGTGCTGTCCGGTTTCCCGAGGGCCCTGGGGCTGGACACGGCGAGGCGTGGGAACTTCAAAACACTCCTCCGATGCGTTCGGCTGCGGGGAGGTGAGAGGGTGATCTTCCAAAGGTCGGCAGAGGGGAAGCACTGGTAGGAGGAGAGGGTTCCAGAAAGAACGGGGCGAGGCGGATCTTCTGCAAGGAGGGGGGACACGTGTCCCCCAAAGACAGCAGCAGGGCAGGGAGGACGCAGACCCTGATTTTGGGTTCGGAAGGAGTGAGGCACAGTGGGGATGCAGGGGCGGGGGCACAGGTCAGATGGCCTGGCGCCTCCATCACACAGCAGGTGCAAGGGTCTAGAGAGGCGGGGCCGTGGGGCTGGGGGCTGCAAGGTGGCAGCTGGGAGCAGTGACGTGGGACACGCTTGGAAGTCCATGGGGAGGGGTAAAACAGACCTGGGCCTGTGATGGCGATGCAAGTGAAGGAACCAGCATGTGCCGTGGGCCCAGTCGTCGAGATTCTCTACAGCATCCGGGAACCTTTAGCAGCTTCACATCAGAGGAAGCAGCTGCTGGGTCCTGTCCAAGGCTGGGGGTCAGGAGGGTCAGAGCGGGGAGCAGGGTGGGAGCTCGGGGAGTGCGTGCTGGTGGAACCAGTGGACCGCAAAGGGCACGGAAGAGCATAAGTGGGGCCAAGTGGAGCCAGTGTCCTGGGGAGGGCGGGTGCGGGGTGGGAGGTTGTGATGGACAGCTGGGGTCCGGTGGGAGCGGACAGGGCTGTGGGAGGCAGGGGCTTCAGGGCAGAGAAAGGAGCTTGATGGCCGAGGCCTTGAAACAGGAGTAACTGCGATTAATACCGAGCGGGAGGAGGGTGGGTGTGACCGGGGTTGAGTTCCGAAGCTGAGGTCAGCGACCCAGCAGGTGCACCGAGGCTGCTGGTGAGGCGAGGGTTTCTTTGGGGGTGATGAGGTGGAGTGACCCCATGAACACACTGAAACCCACCGACCTGTGTGCTGTGAATGGGTGAACCTCAGGGCCCATGAGTCTGCCTCAGCTTTTTGATGGAGGCCTGGAGTCGGCGCGGGGAGGAAGGAGCGGGAAGCAGCAGGAATGCTGGCGTCCCGAAGGACGGGGGCTCGAACAGGTGGAGAGGAGGACAGGGTCCGGTGTCCCCAGGAAGCCCACGGCCCGGCTGGGCAGAGAGCCCGTGCCTGGGAGGCAGCTTTGCAGGACAACAAATGACAAGGAGGTGGGGGTGGGGACAGCAACCCCGAGGACAAAACTCATCCTCGGAGACACTTGAAGAGGTCGATAGGATGTGGTCACCCGAGTGTTGGTGTTCGGTCCCCAACACCCGGTGGCAGGGCAGGCCTCCGGAACCCGGGCGGGATGCCCCCTCCGCACCTGCCCCCTGACCGAGGTCTGGCCTCCCGGCCTCCACGGTTCTGCCGTCGCCCTGGGTCACCCGTGGGGGCCGCCGTGGGGAGAGGTGGACGAACTTCTGGGCTTACTGTCGCTTCCGTCGGCTCCAGGTCGGACTGGTGTACATGTTCAACCTCATCGTGGGCACCGGCGCGCTCACCATGCCCAAGGCCTTCGCCTCCGCCGGGTGGCTTGTCAGCCTGGTCCTGCTGGTGTTCCTGGGCTTCATGAGGTAAGGGGCTGGCAGGCGGGGCCGGGGGCAGGGGGCTGTCCACGGTGAGTCCTCCACAGCGGGGCCCGGAGTGAGGACAGGGGTGGCAGAGGGCCCGGGGCCTCTGCGATGGAGCCGAGGCGCAGCCCCGATCCGTTCAAAGCTGAGTTGGGCGCTTAGGCTTTGGAACGTTCCACGTGGCGGTCCGTGTTTTTTCCCCGGCTGGAGTGTCTCCCCGGTGTATAGTTTTGAGACAGTGCCGCCCAGCCACAGAGGAAGAACACGGCAGTTGTGGAAGGTGCCGCCGGGGAAGTCAGTTTGGAATCACGGAGCTCGTAATTGCTTCAGGTGGCCCACAGAGTGCGGGGTAAACACACAGCGTGCCCACAGTCTGGTGCCGCCCTCACCGGCTCCCTGCCCAGCCGCCCCCAGGCACCTGCCAGGGCGCCTGCTCCACCAGCCGGGTGTGTGGGACACCCCACCCCCGAAGTTCTTCTCGGGCATTCCACAGGCGGGTCTGAAGTCGGGTTAGCCAGTGCCCCAGGCCAGCAACGGAGTTCGGACTGAGCGTTTCCAGACCCCTCAACCAGGCGGGAATCTACCAGCCATGAAAAGGAGGTGGGCGGCAGCCCCTGGAGACACCCCCGAGGGGGCCCTCCCTCCGGAGCGGCGGCCCCAGGCAGCGCGCTGGGGCCCTGGGTGTGCCGCTGAGCAGCACACGGAGCCCTCCCTGCAGATTCCCCGTCTTCGGTGGGACACAGGCCGCGGGCAGTAACGTCATAAATAAATAAATGGCCGAGGAAGCTAGAAGGTGGTGGGAAATGGGGAGTCAAACCCACGGAGTGTAGCGGAGCGGGGGGGTTGGGAGGGTGGGGCAGCTGGGAGGTGGTCTCTGGTCCCGGGGGCAGCACTTAAGCAGATTGGAAGGGGAAAGGGGTGGGAGCTGCTGGGGGAAGGAGACGGTTGGTTGGTCGGTCGGTGGGGGAATCGGCGTGAGACCCCAAGGAGCTCAGCGGGATGGAAATGCCCTCGTTTCTCAGTCCACTCACGCTTTTTCCTTTGGGTGGTCGGGGGGCCGGCCTTAGAGCACTGTCGGCTCGTAACCGCCTGCTGCGAGCCTGGGCAGGCAGGAGCCCTACAAGTCCTTGTCCTTGCGTGCCCCTGCTGTCCCCTTGAAAGGACCTTCAGCACCAGCGGCCGGGCTGGGGCCGTCTGAATGGGGAGCGATTCCTGGGGCCCGGGCGGGGGCCGCCAGGGGCCGCCACGCCCCCACCTCGCCCAGCCCACTCGTTTGAACGTGATCGATGAGCCGGCTCCGTGTGCCCGTGCCTCTTTGTGCCTTAATTAAGATTGATCTCAGTTTTACTTCCAAAAAGAAGGGAAATCTAAAGCCCTTAAAACGGTCATTTAGGCAGGATAATGAGAACCGTTCCTAGGACGACGGGCTGGGGAGACAGGGCTGGGGAGACAGGGCTGGGGAGACAGGGCTGGGACTTTCAGGGCGGCCCCCACCCCCGCCGGCCTGGGGCAGGATATGGATCTAACTCCTGCCGCACCTGCCCCCTGGCTGCTGGGCCGAGTGGCCTGCCCAGGGCTGGTGACCGTGGGCTCAGGGTCCAGCCCCACTGCAGAGTCCTGTGGCCTTAGGAAGGAGAGAAAGGACCGCCCTGTCCCAGGCTGCCTGCCCTGCAGGAGCGGAGCCATTCCTCAGGTTCCCTGAGCGGGAGGCGGCCCTCCCCCTGTACCTTCTGCTGACAGAAGCGTCCGCGCGTTCCAGCTGCCGTCTGGGTCTCCGGTTTCTTTACGAGGAGGAAGAGAAAGGGTGATTTGTCACTCTAGTCTGACTTCTCGGCAAACGTCTGGGGCCGCCTCCCAAGCTCCCTTTGATTCGGGCCATAAAGATGCAGGTTTATGTTCGTGTTAGCCAGGTTATTGGGAGAGCAGAAACACTGCCCGAAAGAGGGGGCGGGGGGCAGGTTCCAGAGCCCGCTGTTTCTGTCCCATCGTCCCGGCCTGTGCTCCGGCCTGTGCTCCGTTCGGGAGTGGATGTCACTGGGGCTGGACCGAGTCTGTGTCCCAGCAAGGAGAGGCGGCGCCACCTGGGGCCCTTGGGAGGCCCCTGGTGACCCAGCCTCCTCTTCCCGACCAGAGCTCCAGGCGGGGTCTGTCCTTCCAGCGCTGCCTGGACAGGCCTGCGGGTGCCGTGTGGCCCTGCCCACCTCTCCTGTGTGTCCGATGTGCGTTCTCACTGGAGGCTGGGATGTAGAGGCAAGCGTGCGAGGCACGGCATGTGCACGCACACCTTTTTTTAAATCGGGCCAGACCCATGGCGAGAGGGCCCTAGGGAGCAGCTCTCCGAGGAGGAGGCGGTGCTTGGCTTGGGGGGTCCAGTCAGGCCTTAAAGTGGCTTTTCCTTCTTCTTTGCGCCCCTCCCACCTCCCCGCCTGCCTTCCCCCCGCAGCTTCGTGACGACCACCTTCGTGGTGGAGGCCATGGCCACCGCCAACGCGCAGCTCCACTGGAAGAGGATGGAAAACCACCAGGTGTGTGTGCTGCCCTCGGCGGCCAGTCCTTCCCCTCCCCGTGCGCAGGGCACCTGTGTCCGCAGCCCCGCCGGGGACCCTGTCCCAGAGCAGCAGCCTCACGGCCGCCTAAGCTTCCAGAGCACATGAGGCCTCTGCCCCTTGGCATTTGCGTCATGGGTCCCTGCGGCCCCCGACCCTGAGCCGGCTCAGTCTCCTGAACTTCGGCACCCAGGAACCGCGCCGCAGCCTCGGACCTGACACCCGAGGGTGCTGCGCCTCCTCCTGAGTGGGAGTGTTGAGAGCGTCCTAATCAGACCCCTGCTAGAAAGAAGGAACAAAGGAAACAGGTTCTCCTTGTCGCAGGCCCTTCCGTAGTAACGTGCTCCTTTCTCCTCGCCCGTCCTCCCCGCCCGCCCCTCCCAGGAGGAGGAGGACGACAGCTCCTCCACAGCCTCCGACAGCGATGGCCTGGCCCAGGACGGCTACGAGCGGGCGGAGACCCGGCCCATCCTGTCCGTGCGTAAGTGTCGGGGTCCCGGCCGGCCCGCACTCCCTGCAGTCCAGAGGGCCCCTTTCCGCGTGGACAGGGCTGGGGGGGGGTCTCTGCGGAGATGCTGTGGCGCTGTCGCCGGCAGGGGGCTCCTGGGCAGGCACCACGGTAGAATAAGAGCAGGGGCTCAGGAGCCAGGGGCACAGGCATCCCGCCCCCGGCTCCGGCACCGACTCACACCGGCAGCTCGGGCAAACTTCCTCACCTCGGCCCCCGGCTTCGCCCATCCTGCCCTTCTGGAGGGGGTTGAACGCCTGGTCCGGGGGCCGAGCACACGGGGAGCTGGAGTACAGACGGGGTCTCTGGCTTCTCTCCTCTCTCCTTCCTCCCGTCCCACACACACACACACACACACACACACACACACACACAGTCGTGCCCGCGCACACACCCGCCCCACAGCCCCATCCCTGCCCCGGCCCAGGCAGGGCTGAGCGCCCCGGCTGCCTCCCCACGCTGCAGCCAGCGCGTCTTCAGGCGCGTCAAACAGGAAGCATTCGGAGACGTTCCCTCAAGAGTTCGGAACCCCTGGGGCTTTTTCTGGAGAAACCCTTGGGGCTGTTCTGGAGGATCCAGGAAGCTCAGCAGCCCCCTCCAGAAGCCAAGTGCCCCAACCGCCTCCTCTCCCTTGTCCCCTGGCTCCACAGAGAGACGCGGCTCCGCGAACCTTTTTGAAATCACAGACCGGGTGGAAATGGGACAGATGGCCTCCATGTTCTTCAATAAAGGTATCAGCGCTCTCCCAGGTGGGGCGAGGGCGGGCAGGGGGCTCGTCCTGCCTGCCGACCCGGGCACTTGGGACGCGGGGCCCACTGGAGGCTGGGGCAGGGCAGGCGCCGGGGAGCGGGGGGGTTGCCGACCGCCTGTCTGGGCGGCTTAGAGTCATTCTCTTGGGTTCCTCCCCCGTTGTCGGCGTTGGGAGTAAGGAGGTGGGTGGCTGCCTGTCTCCTGCCAAACGCAGAGGTCAGGAATCCTACCTAAGCAGATTTTCAGGGGAGGGAACCCACAGAGGCCGGCTGGTCACTTTGTGCCTCTCGCTCGACTGCGTCTGACTTTTCTGGCTCTCTTTTCTCCTGGACTCTTGTGCGTGGGGCAGCACGGGGCAGCTGGCCGCCCTGTGGCACCACAGGCTCTGCTGCACGTGCGTGTTTGTGTTTCTGTTTCTGTCCGGCTCCTCCTGGTGGCCAGCAGGGGGCGCTGGGCGCCCACGCACAGGTCTGCTGCCTGGAACCTGAGTGTCTCCCCACCTCTCCCCACACTCTCCCTGCTCCCCGGGGGGGCCGGCTGCAAGCTGAGAGGATCCAGCCCAGCTCCGGCGCTGGGCTGTTGGGTGTTTGGGCAATAACATCTTACACCGCCATCGTAAATCTTGCTTTTTGGGAAGAGGAGCTGTTGAAGAGTTTCATTTTTTTTTAATGGCCAAAGCTGTTTTCCCTTTATGGAGTCAGACACATCCCAAGAAAGCCTTGTCTTTGCAGTGACCCTGGAAGATCTTCCTGCGCCTGTGTCAGCCCCTGTTGCTGGGGGGGCACACGCCCCCCGGTTCTTTTCCGTCTCGAATGTGGCTGTACTGACTGCAAGCCGGGGTGGGACTGTGGAAATTGGGGGCTGCTCAGCTGCTTGTGGGGGGGCTGCCTGGCTGCTTGTGGGATGTGAGCATTCTGCATATGGTCGGCGGCATGATTTGACTGTCTGGTCTGAAAGACCGTGACCGGCAGCCACAGGCGGCCCGAGGGTCCGCCCCCATGCCCGCCGCCAGCTTCTTCACTGAGGGTTTCCAGAGTTCGTGAGCACCAGACGGGTCGTGTCTGCATCTTCTGTGTCTGTGCTTCGTCCCGCCTCCACCTCTCCCGCGCTTACCAGGCTAAGACCAGGGAGCATAACCCTTTCTCCCCAGAAGCTGTACGCACGCTCCTTCCCCGTGCAAGCTCTTGAAATAAAATGCACGTCGGAGGGCAGAAATGCACCTTTTAAACGTCCTTTCTGATTTTCACATTTTATAGTCTGCCCCGATTTCTTTTCTTTAAGAATTAGAGGAACTCGGGGGTTTGTTTTGTCTTCCCTCCCCCATGGACTAGACTCCCAGTTGGCCTAAATTGAATAGAAAATAGCCCTGGCTGGCGTGGTTCAGTGGATTGAGTGCCGACCTGGGAACGGAAAGGTCGCCAGTTCGATTCCCAGTCAGGGCACATGCCTGGGCTGTGGGCCAGGTCTCCAGGAGGAGGAGGGCAAGACGCAACTGACTGATGTTTCTCGCACACTTTGATGTTTCTCTCTGTCTTCTTCTCCCTCCCTTCCTCTCTCTCTCGCTCTAAAGATAAATAAATAAGTCTTTTTTAAAAAGTAAGAAAAAAAAAGAAAAAGCACGTTAGGGAGAGCAGCCGCCCACTCGGCGGGAGCCTTCTGCCCATCTGCTCACCTGGGGGTTTCTCAGACTCGGCGCTCGTGCCGTTGGGGCCGGGCCACGCTGTGCCGCGGGCCCGTCCTGTGCATTGTTGGACGCTGAGTAGCATCGTTGCCCCGGACACACCAGTTGCCGGCAGCACCTCCCAGGGATGACAGCCTGCAGTGTCCTCAGACCATCATCAAAGGTCCCCCGTTGGGCTCACGGGGCAGAACTGCCCCCAGTTGAAAACCTCTGCTACACCCGCTTCCCGATTTACAGGTCGCCGCCTTCACCTTTGGGAGGGCTATACCCCCACCCGCAGCCCCCGCCCCACGAAGGGCTCCCTCGGGGTCCAGGCTCCTTTCCTGTAATCAGACACACCAGGCCTGCTCGCTGCGGTCCTCTCAGGAAGTTCATTGATCCTCCCGTTCCGTGTCTAGTGATGGAATTCATTGATCAGGGCGGGCCAGTGGCAGTTCATAAACAGAGCTGACACTGGAGCCCGTGGGCAGGCGGAGGAAGTGGGGAAGGGACGGGGCCGCCCTGCAGAGGGCGCTGCCGCCGAAGCAGACACACAGGTCGGGGCGCAGGCTGCGCCTGGAGCCGGGGGGTGAGTGGCAGGCGGACCCCAGGGGCCACCGAGCTTGGATGGCGAGCCTGTCGGAGGCCATTCTGGGTTCTTTCAAGAGCCGTTTTTTTTTTTCCTGGTCTTTTTCCTCCTTAGCCTCCCGGGGGCAGCGCCGGCCTCAAATAGCCCAGTTGAAACTTGTCCTTGGCCTTCCTGCGGGGACCCTAGAGGCCCTTCCAAGGCACCCAAGTTAGAAGGGAACTGTCACTTCATTTTGCTTTCTGTGTCCATCCATCCAAGCCAGCAGCTTGAGACCAGTGACACCAAGATGAGCGGTCAGTCTGGACCGGAGCTGGAGACCGGCTGTCGGGGTGTGACCCTGAGGGGGCAGGGCCCAGACACATTTTTCAGGCTCTTTGTGGCTGGAGTCACACAGGACACTTAGCACAGGCGGGACCCTCACTGCCCTGGACCGGGGCGGTCAGGGTGGGCCGGGCAGCGAGAGCAAGGGGACCGGGACCAGCGCCTGCATTCCCAGCTCTTAGTTCAGGCCCCCCCCCGGGGCAGAGGGGCCAGGCTTTGCCTCCGCTGAGCGAGCCTCCTCCCTCGCAAACGCTTCCGGAAGGAGGGTGAGCACGCTTGGAGCTCTGCGCCTGCCGCTCCCTCTCCCTCGGCCCTCCGGGGCTCGGCTTCTCCTTGGTCTCTGGAAGTCTCGGGCTTCTGCCCTCCTGATTTCAGCTTCAGGAGCTGGGCCGTCTCCTGGTGCCTTCTCTCGGCTTTCCAGTTCCTCGGTGGCAGTCCTTCGTCCTGGGTCCCGTGCGCAGCCGTGAAGGGGCCCTGGCCAAGGCTCCTGGCCGGGACCTCTCTCCTCCCCTCCGCCCTCCCCGCTCCCGTCCCCAGGCTCCCGCCCGTCCCCAGCCTGAAGGCACCTCTGGTTCCTCCCCAGCCAGTCCACGCCTCACGCCCGCCCTGGCACCCGTCTGGATTCAGAACCTCTCTAACCCTCCAAGCCTCCCTTAGGGCCCTCTCAGGTGAAGGTCATGGGCAAACGTGTCTCCTGCCAGCGTTCCAGGATGGCCAGACCAAGAGACAGGACTGTGGGGCCTTCTTGCTTCTTCTCATTCTTTTTGGGCAAAAGATGCTGCCTGGAGAACCCCAAGGCACGGCAGGGGCAGAAAGGGGGTCCCCACGAAGGAACGCAGACAGGCGCCTCCGGGTGGCGCCCTGACCGGCGGCCCCGTTCCTTCCAGTGGGGGTCAACCTGTTCTACTTCTGCATCATCGTCTACCTGTACGGGGACCTGGCCATCTACGCCGCGGCCGTGCCCTTCTCCCTCATGCAGGTGTCCTGGTGAGTGTCCCCGCGCCCCCCGCCCTCGTGTAGCCCCCGGGGCGTCCTCGGGCAGTCAGGGCAGCGTTTCCGGGGTGGAAGCGCGACACCAAGGGGACCGTCAGCACCGAGGGGATGCAGGTGCCCGAGGTCCTTCCTGCACGGCCTTGGCCGGCTGAGCACCCTGTCCTCCAGAGACACACTCCACGCTGCTGTGCCCTGCCCCGCCCCATTGGGAAGGGGTCAGGGAGCCCCCCAGGGGCCTGTGAAGCTGTGACAGGAACAAGCGATGGATGCCTTCCCTAAAGACGGGAAGATGGGGTCCGTGCGGGGGCCGTCCGACTGTCGGACCGAAAGCCGCTCGGGGGGGAGCGGAGGCTCGGTGGTGGCTAACGATCAGGAACGTCCCGTTGCGCGTGCCCCCGGCCCAGCGGGGCGGGCCGCCCTGAGCCCCTGTCCTCTCTGTCGGCAGCGCCGCCACCGGCAACGACTCCTGCGGCGTGGAGGCCGACGCCAAGCACAACGACACGGACCAGTGCTGGGGGCCCCTGCGCCGGGTGGACGCCTACCGCATCTACCTGGTGAGTGGCCGCCTCTGCCTGCCAGCGCCGCCCCCCCAGGGCCTGGGAGCGGCCCTCTGCCTCTGCTGGAGCCCCCCGGGGGAAGGTCTGCGTGGCTCCCGCTCTGGCTGACGGCCGGGGCCCTGGCCCGGGGCAGAAAACGGGCTGGATCACCTAGACTCTAGCTAGCCCAGGGGGTCCTGGCGCCCGGGCCTCGGTCACGCGTGGTTTGGAATCGGCGTCCGGGTGTCTGCCGGCTCCAGGGCGGTGAGCTCTCGTAACCCTCACTCGGGATTCCCGGGCGCTCGTAGCAAAGCTCTGCAAGGGGTGCCGGGGCTGACTCTCCCCAGAGACATTCGTGTTGGACCGCCCTCCCGGCCGGCCCAGGAGCGCACGGGCGGACACCAGCTTTTCCTGCCTGGCCAGGCAGGACTGAGCCCGCTGCGGCCGCCCCGACCACCCCTGTGGCCACCTCTGACCATACACCAGTTCTCCGCGCCGGCCAGGGTCAGCCCAGCGCCCTCCCTGTCCTCCCTGCTCCCCGCCGGCGAGGGAGGGTGAGCACCTCCGGGCTCCTTCGTGATTGCTTTGTGCCGGGGGCGGGGGCGGCGGGGAGAAGCAGCAATAAGACACAAAACCAGACAGTAATTCATCTCTGCCTGCTTGGCGGGCGGGGCTCGGCAGTGTTTCTCTTTCCCTTATGCAGCCTCTATTAATATTCTGCTTCCTCTCGGGCCTCCTCAGCCCTGACACAAATCTAGGTGTGCCAGGTGACACGCAGTTCGTTCGACACGTGGCCACTTCGCTGATTGGGAGGCAGGAGGCAGGAGGCAGGGCGGGGGTGGGGGGCTCAGCGTTTTCGGTGCACGGGTCCCTTAACTCTGCAGGTCCTGGCCACGATGTCCGCAGGCCCCGCCAGCTGTGGCGGTAGGGTCCGAACTCGTTAGTCCCCACGGCTGCCGAGAGGTTGCGTGGCCCTCCCCGCCCCGTCCCACAGACCTGCCGGAGGAGCCCATGGCCCGATCCACGAGGGAGAGCTGCTTTCTGCTGGGCACATCCACGGCAGGCGGGCGTCCCTGCGGCTCCGCTCACGTGCAGCAATGGCTGAGAGCGGTCCGGGAGCAGAGGGGTGTCCGAGCTCCCCCTCCGCAGGCCCCGGGGTCCTTTGGAAGCAAACTGGCTTCCTGGCCCCCTTCCCCACCGCCCCACCTGGCGGGTGGGCAGAGTAACCGGGCAGGGCAGCCAGGAGAGCCCAGGCCTGTTCGCCTCTCAGCATTTCAGCAGGCCGTGATTGGTAAAACTAGCAGAAGTGCCGGCGAGGGTAACGCCCACCAGGGTCTCTGGCCGGCGTGGGCGGGAGCGGGTGGAGGACAGGTCGGAGAGGCTGGGCGCTGACAGGGCAGGGGAGCAGGTCCAGGGCAGAGGGACGGCAGCGGGGCCCTCGGGTGGGTCTCACCCAGGGAGGGGGGGGGCCACTGGCATGTGTGTGGATTCTGCCTGGCGCACTCCGCCTCCCCCCGGCAGAGAGCGGGGGGGAGCCCTGGGGGTATTGGCAGCTGCCACTGGCCGAGTAAATTATTTAGAAGCCTCATGATTGCCTTATTAAGTCGTTCCTTCACCTCGTCCTGTAAACTTCCCACGTGACGGGAGCCTCGCTCCCTGAATCTCAACCACTCTCCCCAGAGCACAAGCGAGCGGCCCTTCGGGAAAGTGGGGCGGTGTTAATTACCACCTCTGTCTCGTCTCCCAGAGATCGCACTTACAACTCGCGCAGCTAATTGCCGCCGGGCCCGCAGAAGCCGCAGAAACAGGAAGCAAAGGGCAGGCGCAAACAGCCCGTTCCCTCCGGGCCCCCTCGCTGCCCTCCCTCCCCGCTCCCAGCCCGCTGCGTGGGGGGCTCTGGTTTGCTCGCGAGGTTCTCAGTTCGGGTGTGCTCTGTTGCCTGGGCTGGAGAGGTTCAAGGTAGATGGACCCCATCTCTGTCTCTGAAGTTTCTTTACAGCTTTGGGCGTGTCTCTCGGGGTCCCTGGCTTCCGCGGGACAGTGTCTGCTGACCCCAAACTCTGGGCTCGCTTCCTCCCCTTCTGCGAGGTCGAAGGGCAAAGTTGTGAGGAGGAGGGGTTGGCAGGCGCGGGTTCCCTTCCTGGGTCCCGGGCTCGCTGTTGCCGAGGTGATGGCGTCTACCCAAGTGGCCTCTTCGGATCACGGGGCACAAGGGTTGTCATTTCTCCTTGCTCCCCCCACCCCCCAGTTGTTCATTGCCCCTCACCCCCTAGTCGTTCATGTTCAGAAGGTGGTCCTTACCTTCTGAGACCCCGGTGCCCCTTTCCACCGGCTCTCCCTCGTGCTGCTGCCTGCCGGACTTCACTTGAGTGTCCAGCACGGCAGCGAGCGGAGATAAAGTGCCCTTCCGACCCCGGCGGGTCACCCAGCTGTCCTGGGGAGCGGGCCCCCCCCCCCAGGACTGCGTGTTTGAAAGGGCCTCCTAGGGACCACTTCTTCGTTGCTCTTCTGGGGCAGTGTGTTCTGGGGGCTGAAGATACAGGCTTTTATTTTGTGGCTTAATTATCAGAGCGTCCTGTGGAAACGGTCTCCTCTGTGTCTTCTTCCTGGGAGTGCTGAGGCGCACACACACGGAGTGAGAACATTCGGGGTGCTAGCTCTGTCCGGGGTCCGGTCTGTGAGCAGCATCAGGACCACCTGCAGGAAGGGAGCCGTCCCTGCCAGCAGCTCCCAGCCGCCTCCCCGAGCCCTTGACCTTAACTCATGGAAGACTCCTCCGCCCCCCTGCTCCCTGCGACCTCCGCCCACATCCTGCGGCTGCCGTGCAGCTGATATGAGTCAGTTTCTCCCCCTCCTGCCTCCCAGTGGCCACATGACGGGGTGCTGTGAGGTGGGGGGATCTGGTGAGTTACATGAGCCATCAAGGGCGTCCCCGCAAGTGGCCGCAGCGGGGGCCAGCAGTGACCCGGGCCCCGTTACGAGGACCCATGAGAATTGACATGGGGACCTGCTCTCGGCAGGTTTCAGGTTCCCGGAACACCCCCCCACCCCTCCTGCTCCTTCGAAGGTCAAGCAGGAAAGCGTTTGCTGCCCAGCCCTTGCAGTCTGTGACCTTGCCTCCGGGCTGGGGCGGCTTGGGGTTCCTTCTGCAGAGCTTCTCCCGCTCCGGTCGGAAACGAAGCCAGACTTTAGCGTTTCCTTCTCTCCTGCCCGGTGAGCCGCGGCCAGGGGCCACTGGGGAAGTGACAGGGTTGTGATGCGTGAATCAGTCCCGCCCGGAGTCGGACTGTCTCCAGTGCCCGGGAAGTGGGGCACGCGTCACAGTCCCCTGGAGTCCGGGGCACGGCCGAGCTGCACTGCCTCACCTTCTCAGGGCCTCCCAGCCTGTCACCCACCTCTTTCTCCCGGGGCCCGGGCCCCGTCCCTGCCTCCTCCTCGGGAGTGGCAGAGGCAAGCCCTGGGGGTGCAGTGGGGCTCCCCCAAGTGCTGAAGGCTCCTGGCCATCGCAGGAGGGGCGTGTGCCACTTACAGGTGGGCAGATGCTGCTGGGTGACCAGCCGCCCGGCAGGCCCTGGCTGGGCAGGGCCGGGAGGGCAGACGGCAGAAGGGAGCTCATCCCCTGCTGGCCGCAGACCGGGCCGCGAACTGGCTGTGCTGAGCAGGGGGCCCCTCGTGGGCCGCCTGGGAGCAGGATGAGGTCACCCTGGCTTGTCCTCCTGCCTTGGACGCGGGAGCTGTGAGATCTACCTCCAGGGCACGAGTGGCCAGGGAGAAAGAGGTGGCCTCCAAGTGCCCAGCAGATGACCCGCCATCCTCTGCAGGAGGGACAGAGGGGTTCTTCCCAGAGTCCCTCCAGACACCCCTTGAATAAACAGGGTGTGCCTTGGAGGCCGGGTGGCAGGGGGCAGTTCTGTCTGCTGGACTCTCCCTCTTCCTAGAGGAGTAGCAAGTCTGAGAACCGGGGTCAAGGCGTCGGAAGGGTCCTCCCGGGCCTTCCCCGATAGCCCGGTCTCTCTTTCTCGGCCCCAAGGCGTGCCCTTTGACCCCATCTTGGCTCCGTCTTACCCAGCAACACTTGGCTGCTGTCCGTTTGTGACACTTAAAACAGCGCGCGGTCCTCCTTTTAAAACCAACGGTTTCTTCTTAAAACAGCACCGTCGGAGGGGGACTCGGAGGGGGGCACGTCCTTTTGGGGGTGGAGCAGGGAGCGATGCGCCCCCCAGGGCAGCGGCGCGCCTGCCGTGGCCGGTCCTGCCGTGGTTCGTCTTCCGCTGACAGGACGCCGTGCCAGCTGCTCCCACTCCTGTTCCGGTCCTCCGGGCCCCGTGCGGTCCGTGGCATCTTCCTAACCGCTGCACAGCAGAGAAGACTGGGGCTTGCTCGTCGGGGGTGGGGGACGGCCCTGGTGACACAGACTCGCCCAGCTAGCGGGGCAGCCCGGCTGCCAGGCCTGCGGGGGGGAGGGGCAGGCTTCGCCTGTTCCTCCGCCCTTGGAGCTTGCGTTGGGGTGGGGGTTGGGGCGCCGCCGCCGCGGAGGAGAGTGTCTGTGCGGTGACCCGTGTCCGCACATCCCGCCCGCCTGCCCGCCTCATCGATTTGCTGTCTCCCCCGCAGCGCCGAGATAAGGAAGCAGACTCCCCGGTCCCCTCAAAGAGCACGTCGGGATGGAAGGCGTCTCCCAAGGACGTCTCCCTGCCCCCGCCGGGGTCCTCCTCTGTGTTCTGTCAGCGGCGGCCGCTGTGCCCCGGGGCCGCGGCCTGTGCTAGTAAGTGGGTCGCGGCTGCCAGCACTTGAATACTCATTCGCACCAATCCCGGGCCGGAGGTGGCCTCCATGCCTTCAGGACGGTGAGGGGGGGACGTTCGTGTGGAGCGCGCCGCCGCAGCCGCCGCCGCCGCAGCAGCAGCAGCAGCAGCAGCAGCAGCAGGGACCTCACGGGACCTGGGACTCTGGGGGCGCCGCCGCACACGTCCAGCAGGGGGCGGTGTGGACGCAGCCCCCGCGTTTGTGCGGCAGCG